ATGCTGTTTGTTTGTGCTGATTTAACCCATTTGTATGCTTAGAGAGATATTGTTTGGATATTTGTTGCTTTGTAACGGTACTCTGGCTCACCCGACCCTTGCCTGTTGTGCAATTTGGATTTTGGATTATCCCTCTGAACTTGATGTTTCTTTGTAAATATTTATTGTGAATATTGTAAATAGTTTTTGGGAAAGCAAGGAGTCAGACGCCATCTTTTGTTTTTGTAACGTTTGGATCTCTGTTTTTGGATTAGGTAGTTAGGTTAGAGAATTGCATTTTCGGTTTCTTTATTTTGGATAGGTAATTTAGAGGGTTTAGTATTTAGAACGTTTGTTTATTTTTATATTGCTTTGTTTCTTTATTTTGGATAGGTAATTTAGAGGGTTTCATATTTGGAACATTTTGTTTATTATTGTATTTTTTTTTTTTTCAGAGAAGAGAGGAATTGTTGACTTTTCATTTTTTTTCTTAACTTCGGTTGAAATATAAGATATCTTTTTTGTTCATCTGTGAAAAGTGTGGTGTTTTTGTTAATCATTTCTTTTAACCATTGTAATATATTTTTATTCAAAGGATCACTACTCAGTTTTATTACTTCATTAATTATAGTCCTCCCTGTTGCACCATAAATGTTCAGGCAGATATTATGAACCTTACTATTATAAGTACTGTTCATTTTCTGAGAGAAATCGGATAACTGAATTATACAAGAATCATGATTTTTTTTCTGCCTAAATAGGGACTTCTATTAGTAAAATGTAATATACACACTATCTGTCGCTCCTCTATAATCTCCTTATTTTTAGTAATTAATTATTTTATCGCACTAATAACGTTGTCTTCAGTATGACATTTATCAGGAGTAAAGGGTCCGATTAATTCAGGCGGTCCTATTTTAAACTCAATTATGCAAATGCAAACTGATTTTTAAAGTTAAACCTCCTCAAAATGCAGTCTAAAATCATTTATGTACCCCAATATCTTTAAAGACAGAGTGTGATTTACAGGAATATTGGAGTATTTAGAAAGCAAATTATTTAATTTAGAAGGAAGAGAAGGAGAGAAAATTTAGAGTTTGTGTGTGTCTGAAAGTGCTGGTGATCTAAAATGTTATTTTATTATATTATTATGATTATAGATTTGTTTTAAAGTGTGAAAAACCGACTCGGACCAGAAGAGAGTCTCGGGAGGTGAATTGTTTGCTTGGGTAGACTTTAGATGCGTTTACGCCGTGTGGGAATTACTGTAATTACTCCAACTTGTAAAAACTCACTTTCTCATAGAACTCTTGTAACTTGTAAACGGATTACTAGTGTACTTACCGTAAAAACAGCAACTGAAAAATTATGCAGTATGCAGTGACAGACGCTTCAAACAGCAGTATAGCATACTATAGCATTCATCACATGGCCTCAGTAATGAACAAGAGTAGCTTAGAGGCAATTCAAATAAAAACAAACGAAATATGAAGAGTTCAGATTCAAAAGCCTCTAAGTGCCGTCTGAAATTTTCTTCTAAAATTAGCATTTTTATCAGGCCCCTATGTTTATTTTCAGTTATTTCACTTTAATGGCAATGAAAATAACTTATTTTTTTGCCATTGCCAAGTGAAATTACTGAACCTACACACAGGAATCTAATTAAAAATGCTCATTTTAGAAGAAAATTTCAGACGGCACTTAGAGGCTTTTGGACCAAAGCACTGTGAGGCAAGGTAAGAGAGTTTAAAATTTTCTCATTTTCTAAACTTAAAACGCATTTTTGTCCCGTTTGTGATGTTTTACTACTTACACAATTATTTAAAGTATAAAACATTGTTATTTACTAAATACACAGACTGGTTTTTAATCATATTTTTAGGGGGGACAACCCTGAGATGGGGGGGGGGGCCCTGTCCCCCCCGACCCCCCTGGGATTTCCGCCTATGGATACAGATGAAGTAGCACTGTAAGATTACATTTGTTTGAATGCATTATTGAGAGAGCAATTGCGTGTTATAGTACTTGTTTAAATCATGCTTTCAGTTGAAAATATTCAGTATCTAGAAGGAACAAACCAATTTCTTGAGAACTATATAACTTCCCGCTCATGTCCATTGCCCTCATAATAGCCTTCACATTCTTTTTGATTTGAGTGATCCATCTCTATCAAGCTAAATAAGTTTAACATGTGAATTCTTGCTAAATATGCAGTTATATTACGGGCCGTTGGCATGAATTGTACTCGTGATGGAGCGGTGGTGGAGCGCTCTTGGAGCGAGTGAAAACCATGACGCTCCGACTTTTAAAAATCCACTCCTCGCTCCATTCAAAATCACAAATTATACCCAGAATGCATTGTTTTCTACGGGATTTTACTGTTTTAATGAAAAAACAGTATGTTACTGTTAGAATGTGGCCCTTTTTTACAGCAATTTTTTTGAGTGTGTATATATACTGTATATATATATATATATAAAGAAAAACATCTTTGTGCAGTCTTTTGGTCCTCAAACAGTAATAAAAACAAGTTCACACATGTTGGTTTTTATATTTTATAGGAGCATTCCATGAGACAACTTTCTTTCGTGCGCTAGTGGAATACTACAAATCATGTTTCATGTTGATTTGGATACAAGCAATATAAAGCTATTTAATCACAGAGAACCATTATAAAAAATAGTGCAGCAACATTTGAACTATTAGCATTAAACTGAAAATACTTAAAAGGTTATATGCAGTACATATGTAAGGAGTACTGTTATCATAAGCAGAAATCAGATCAAAAATTATATTTACCTTTATTTCAAATTAAATTACAGGAACAATTAACCTGACACTTCTGACTTTTTATTTTAAAAAGATTGTGCTGAAAAACAATTAAACATCAAGGCCTCTGCTTATTTTAGCCACTCATGAAAATTACATTTTTAATCCTGTATGTAAAATGTGCCATCTGTTCAAATCAACTGTAAAATTAATTCAAACTTTTCACGCAAAGATTTGCAAAACTGTTCTATTTTTTCTTTTTTATAAACCGCTATTCCTCCAGCTAAAACAAGACCTCCTAGTGTAATTATTAGTGCTGGTGGAAAGACTAAATCTGTTACTACAATGAGAGTGATTCCTGCTGCTACAGCTGCTACTCCTGTTGATCCAACTGTGCCTGCTGCAATATAATAAAGCCAACGCTTACGTTTGATCATTTTTGGAGACCATTCATTTGTGTAGTACCCCCATTCATTTTCCTCTGCTATGTTTTCAATCTTCTCCAGCAGCTCTTTGACCTGATTATGGTTAGGGTCTCTGAGTGCCTCGATGTTGAATGCTTGATATCTGCCATTACTGTTAACCAGTGACTTTGTCTTATACACCCTTTCTCTGATACAATCATCTAATGGTTTCCCCCTCAGATGATCAGCATGAGTGAACAGAATGATGCTGTAACGTAGAGCATCTATACCAATGTTGTTCTGGACCCATTTCACAATTTCCTTCTCCTCATCTTTGAATCTCTTATCCAGTCTGATGACCAGCAGAAACACATGAGGACCAGGAGCAGACATGTGGACACACTTCTCTAATTCATCTTTCATCTTCTCTTCTGGTGCATCAATTAGTCCTGGAGTGTCGATCATTTTCATGTTCTTTCCATCAACACAAGCTTTATGTATTTCACAGGTTTTAGTAAAACTCTCTCGGCCAACAATGGTTTCTACAGCACTGGTTTTTCCTGATCCAGTTTTACCCAGCAGCACAATCCGAGGATTTCTAGACCCTGTCAATCCGAAATTCAAATACAGTGGCGATTACAATCCAGTGGCAAGTTGTATCTTCTTTTTTTTCTTTACGACTGGTCCTAATATTTTTCATGTCAGTTACATTAAAAAGTAGATTCATCTAAATTGAATCTGAAAAATAAAACGTAGCCATTGACTAACTGCAACTTGGTCAGGGTTGCATTTCCCAAAAGCAACTATGGTCGCAAGTTCCGTTGTTACCAATAGAGTTCAATAGAACTTGCGACCATAGTTAGCTAACAATGCTTTTGGGAAACGCACCCCAGGCTAGTTCTTAAAGGGATAGTTCACCCAAAAATGAAAATTGCCCCATGATTTACTCACCTTCAAGCCATCCTAGATGTATATGTCTTTCTTTTTTAGACGAATCCAATCGGAGTTATTTAAAAAATTGTCCTGGCTCTTCTAAGCAGAGAAAAATGTTTATTACGTTTGAAATAGGGATATTTTTCTTACAAAAACGCATGGATTCGCTACATGAGGCCTTTATTCAGCCACCGGAGCCGTGTGAGGCACGTTTTATTATGGATGCGCACACTTTATTTAACGTCTCTTGGCCTGTTGAACATAAACACACACCGACTTCAATGATTGGAATAGTGCTTGGAATAGCCAGGACCATTTTTTCAAATAACTCCGATTGGATTCATCTGAAAGAAGAGTCATATACACCTAGGATGGCTTGAGGGTGAGTACAATACAGGCTAATTTTCATTTTTGGGTGAATTAACACTTTAAGACGTTCTTAACATAGCGTCTATGTTTATACTACTGCCCACAGATATTACAAAATAAGTAAATTAACTATATTAAACAAGTAAAATTTAAATATTTAATTGCATTATACAATATGAAACTGTGATCATTTGTTTTAAAGACAAGGACATACGCTTATCAATCTGTCCTCCATTTATCTCTAACATCCTCTCAATCTTCTCCAGCAGTTCAGTGACCTGTGAGCGGTTCTGCGTGTCATTATTGTTGAATGAGTGAAATCTGCCATCACACTCATTAACTAGAGCCTGGAGATCATTACTTTCTCTGATATACTCCTGTAATGGTTTCCCCCTCAGATGATCAGCGTGAGTGAACAGAATGATGGTGTAACGTGCAGCTCCTTCTCTAAAGTTCTTCTGAATCCATTTCACTGTGTTTTTATCTTCTTCTGTGAATTTCATGTCTAGTCTGATGACCAGCAGAAACACATGAGGACCAGGAAGAGACTTCTCCACACACTTCTTTATTTCATGCTTCACTTCCTGTTCGGACATTGTGGTATCAGACAGGCCTGGAGTGTCGATGACTGAGATCATCTTTTCATCTGTTCCTACTTCTTGATGTTCACAGGTTTTAGTAACTAAATCTTGTGAAACAGACTTCTTAAAATGCTGTAAATTCAAGATGGTGTTTCCTGTTGAACTCTTTCCTGATCCAGCTTTGCCCAGCAGAACAATCCTGAGTTCAGATGTTGATGCTGTAAATCAGATTAAAATATCTGTGATTAAACAGAGCATTTAACCAGCATGTAAAAATAACTGTACTATTTAAGAAAGAGCTCTGGCATTTGGAGTGTAGCTGACTTGATACATGTAGCTCACGGTTGTATTATGTTTCAAAATAATAGAAAGATACACTTACAGAAAGGTTTCTTTCTCTGAGCTTCCTGGTACATCTTACTGCTGTATTGCTGTCCTTTGTTTTCTCTCACCATCATCTCAATCTTCTCCAGCAGTTCAGTGACCTGGGAGCGATTCTCAATGTCTTCATTATTGAATGAGTGATATATGCCATTACATTGAAAAACAAGACCCTGGAGATCATCGTTTTCACTAAGATACTCCTGTAATGGTTTCCCCCTCAGATGATCAGCGTGAGTGAACAGAATGATGGTGTAACGTGCAGCTTCTTCTCCAAAGTTCTTCTGAATCCATTTCACTGTGTTTTTCTCTTCTTCTGTGAATCTCCCCGCTCTAATGACCAGCAGAAACACATGAGGACCAGGAGCAGACATCTCCACACATCTCTTTATTTCATTCGTCATTTTCTTGTGCGACAGTGTCGTATCAAACAGGCCTGGAGTGTCAATGACTGAGATCCTCCTTTCATCAATCCTCACTTTTCCTTTCTCACAAGTTTCAGTAAATGACTCTTGTGAATCTCCCGTCTCAAAGTACTGCAGATCCAGGATGGTGTTTCCCGTTGAACTCTTTCCTGATCCAGTTTTACCCAGAAGAACAATTCTGAGTTCAGATGAAGTTGATACTGTGAATCAGATAAGTAATAAAAAAAAACAAAATTAAATAATCTGTAATTAAACAGATCATTCCCAGATGGGTGGCACCTAGGAAATCTAACTGGGGCCCAGCCAGATTTGTCCTCAGTTTCCTTGAGGGCCCCGCATGGGCCAGCCCAGATGAGTTACTAAAATGAACACTGCTCAGTATGCACACTACAGAGTGCTAAGAATAAGACTGAAGCAGCATTGCAGTTAATTAGATAATTAAGTTAATTAATTGAGAGATGACTGAGCATCTCTCATGATCTCAGCAGAGGATGATTAAATGACTCTGCAGATCTTACACACATCTGGTTTTCTCCCAACTCTTTACAGTCATTTAAGATTTTCTAACTCGTTTAGGACTGTTTATGAGGTCACTCATCAAAAAAAAAGTGTATTTTGAAATGATTTTGTGTGTTTTTGTTCGATGAAGCATGAAAGAGAACTTACTGCACTACTGGCAAAGACAGCATGCCAGTACCGAATTAATGCTCCAGTTACTAACATAACCTTGGTTCCCTGAGTTACGGGAATGAGGGTTTGCCTCATTGACTCTATGGGGAAACTCCTGTTTACTCTGAATACTGAAGCCTTATTTGTTCATGTTCGTGTAGCTGCACGAACAAATGGCATTTCAACCTGCCAAAAGGGATGGAGCCGACTGCTATACAAGTCGACTCTGAGCATCATTTCATCAGAATCTTTCGACTGATAGCGACAGTCATCTACCCGCATGCAGCCTTATAGCACGGCAGGTTACGCAATGCTCATTTTTGCATCTCAGGAAAAGGAGTGTCCCCGACTAAGGATTTACATAGTCGAATAAGATTCATCAAGTATTGCATATAGTAGACTGATAGTCGAATCATGTGTGTGTGTGTGTGTGTTTATTTCTTCCACACACTATACATAGAAACAACATGCGACATGCGATAAAAGGTGTCTTTTCCATGTTAATCTGAGTTTTTGTCCTACGCAGCCACAACGGCAACACGCAAAGTTTCTATTTTAGAAATGGTTTCTATTTCTGTGATGTCGCGGCTGGAACAACATGCAAACTATGACAATTATAATCTCTTTTGTATGTGCTTTATTCAATGTTAAAAGTGTTTAATGTGAGTTTGATTTTATATTGCGTGACATTTATAGCCATACAAAAAAGCAACAATAGATAGTTTACCTCAGATCTTGAAAATAAATTAAAGCAAACATTTACATAAACTGTGAACTCAATGCGAACCAAGAAGTGTTTTCCACTACAAAGATATGATCAGTCACTCAGTAGTCACTCATGTAGTTTTAACAATGTTAAAAAGGTTTAATATTTATGAATTAAATTATAAACTTGTCCATTTCAGTTGGAGTGCAGTGCGCTTCTCGCTTTGCAATGGCTGTGATATTGGAGTGATTCTCTTGCATCAAGTTACGGTTAGGTATGGACAGCCAAATTGCTTGTCACTGGAATCCTGTTGCGTCGCGTCTGGTTAGGACAACGTTGGCTGGCAGAAGCTGCTCCTCTGTTTGTCACATATCATGGAAAGTGAAACTTAAATCTGTCAAAGGGGTGGTTGGATTAATTCACGGACGTTAAAAATATTTATTAAAAACTTCTTTCTTTTCACATTTTTATTTACAGCATTATTATAATAGGCTGTAATATTAACTTATTGAGACAAAACTGGTAGTTCTATGTGAAATTAGACATTGAGCACCCCCATATAACCAAAATGGCATGATCCTCGTTTCATAACACTTCTGTGAAGATTCGACTGTGAGATTGGTAGTCGAATCAGGCTCCTCCTATCGAAGCAACGAATCTTCAACTATTCTGGGTCACCCCTACAGGAAACCAAGACTACGCGGGACCTGTGCCCACATGAGATCACTCGAGCCCAGTTGCTCAGCCACGTGACTCTACTGTTTCTTTCTCTTAGCGCAGCTGGCAGGGGAGAAACAGGACAGAGGCAATGGTGGGGCCGCCTTCTTTGAAGTAGACGATCCGCAAGTGAAGCAGGGCGAGACTCATGCTCTTGCAGTGAGAGTAATCTGTCTCAGTGAGCACAGCCTCAGCGTGGACGCGGCCCAGGCAAGCGGGTGCCCTGCACGAGCTGCATATGCAGCACGGCATTTGTAACAACACCAAGGAAATTTGCTCTTTCTGATCGCTGGATAGCCGTAGGGGAGAAGACAAGGCAAGTTTATTTATATAGCACATTTCATACACAATGGTAATTCAAAGTGCTTTACATAAAAGGAAGTAAAATAATCATAAAAATATAATCACAACAAAACAAGGAATTTAAAAACTTTGAAAATTATTTAAACATTTATTTAAAATGAATTTAAAACAGTTAAGAATAGAAAATTATTATACATAGAATACAGTGCAACCAGTTCGGACGTCGCACATTGTTCATTCAATAAATGCACAGCTAAACAGATGAGTTTTGAGTCTAGATTTAAATGTGACTAATGTTTTAGCACATCTGATCTCTTCTGGAAGCTGATTCCAACTGCGGGCGGCAAAATAGCTAAAAGCGGACTCCCTTTGTTTTGTGTGAACCCTTGGTATTTCTAACTGACTCTATCCTAATGATCTGAGTGGTCTGTTAGGTTTATATTCAGTGAACATATCTGCTATGTATTTAGGTCCTAGGCCATTGAGTGATTTATAAACGAGTAAAAGTACTTTAAAATCAATCCTGAATATAACTGGAAGCCAGTGTAAGGACCTGAGGACTGGTGTAATATGCTCAGATTTTCTGGTTCTAGTCAGAATTCTGGCAGCAGCGTTCTGGATGAGCTGCAGCTGTCTAATGGTCTTCTTGTGAAGGCCGGTGAGGAGACCATTACAATAGTCCACCCTGCTGGTGATAAAGGCATGAACAAGTTTCTCCAAGTCTTGACTGGAAACAAAACACCTGACTTGATTTTTAGTTGTTTGACCCCTAGAGTCAAGGTGTGCATTCACCTTGAGAACTTCATCTTTGTCTCCAAATGCAATGACTTCATTTTTTTCCTTGTTTAACTGAAGAAAGTTCTGGCACATCCAACTGTTTATTTCATCAATGCATTTGCAGAGGGAGTCAATGGGGCTGTAGTCATTTGGTGATAAGGCTAGGATTTCTAAATATCGGCATCGGGCAGAGAAAAACCCTTATCGGTCGACCTCTATTGTTGACATTTAAATTAATTGTTTTGCCACTTCTGCACTTGTTATGAATGTATTTTGAATGCAAAGGGCACTTTATTTATTTATTTTTCAAAAAAATAGTGTTTATTTGTTGTGCATGTTATGTATGTTTATTAAAAACAAGTATTTTAATAACCATTTGTTCCGGTATGACCTTTGACACTGATGAAAATTCAGATTTGGACCTTTGAATGTAGACTTTGAGAACCCCTGCTTTAGCATCTTATTGTGCTTGATGGCATGTTCATATAGTCTATTGAAACGCTAGCCAAAGGATGCCAGGAAACAAATAAGAAGAATGCTGCATTAATTGCATTAATTATTTGTGAAATATTAAACTGGAAATTAACATGCACATGATGACCCTATTTAAAATGAACAGGTTTATATGTTGATGTTTTGTTGAAAATAAGATAGTCCACCACTGTGGTGAATAACATGTACTTTAGTTGGGTTCTTGTTATTTTATCTGCTTTTTTGTTTGTTTGTGTCCTTTGTTACAGTGTGTTTAGAAAACATATTATTGGTTGGGGGAAAAAGTAAAAGGTTATCTTGGTTGTTTATGGATGGTAATAGAAATGTCATAATTTTAAAGTGGCCTCATTTACAGATCTAATCACTTATCAAAAGTGTTTTGTTGTCATTTATAGATCTGAATTTCACACTACTAACCCTGAGATAAGGCTGTTGCAATAACCATAATACTGCGATACTGACAAGCAACTGCCATAACCATGATGTTCACATTTTTTATGAGGCTATGCCCTTGTTTTACACTTAATGCTTGTGTTTAACTAAACAGACAGAAAGAGAGAGAGAGATCAAGTGAATGTGTGTAATTTTCTGCATTTTTTTTTTTCAGGTCAAGTCATATTCATAAAAAAAAAACATTTTGCAATCAATTGTCCTAATATGAAAGCAATATCTTTGTCACAGTATCCTTTCAACATTGACATCAACACTGGTCAGTGCACTGAATCAATTCCATTGAGCTCTTTGAAGGGAAACATCAGCTTCAGCATGACTCAAGATGTCATATTGATTGTCTATTGAGCCTAATAAAGTGGTGCTCAAAGTTGAATTAATTTCAACACCATTTATTCATGTATAAATAAATGTATTATTTGACTTGCTCATAAAGACAGACCCTTGCCGCCACGTGCTGGCACAACTGTGTAACTTCACTGACTAACAGCAGGTCTAGAACACTGCTGATACTGGTGAAATAGCTGCACTTTTGGAAAGCCTCTTTTCCAGTCAGATTAGAGAATCAGAACTAACTAATATACATATAATAATAGCCCAAAGAGCTTATTTATAGGCCTATAGCAACAACAAAAAAAAGACACTCAAAATCAACTCAGGGAGATTTTTTTTTTCACTGCAATAGCCCTACTCTAAGAAACTACAGATAGGATATTCTGAATTTGGATTTAACTCTTGAGTAATTCAGACACACAGTTATCAGGAAGCACTGTATAATTCTCAACAGGGCCGTATACAGGGGATGGACTGGCTGCCCCACTGCCCTCATCGGCTAAGCACTGAAGACAAAACCGGCTAGCCTCCAATTAAATAGCCTAGGTGCAACACATCTGAGCCCCACACGGGTTTGCTGGCTGGGATTAAACAGCATGTAAAAATAACTGTACTATTTAAGAAAGAGCTCTGACCTTCTCTGATCCTCTTAATCTTCTCCAGCAGTTCAGTGACCTGAGAGTGATTCTCCATGTTCTTATTGTTGAATGAGTGAAATCTGCCACCAAACTCTCCAGTAACTACCTGTAGATCTGGATTGCCTCTGATATACTCATCTAATGGTTTTCCCTTCAGATGATCAGCGTGAGTGAACAGAATGATGGTGTGATGTACAGCTTCTTCACCAAAGTTCTCCTGAATCCATGTCTTTGAGTTGTTCTCTTCTTCTGTGAATCTCTTATCCAGTCTGATGACCAGCAGAAACACATGAGGACCAGGAGCAGATATGTGGACAGACTTCACTATTTCATCTTTCATTGTATCTGCTGGTGCATCAATCAGTCCTGGAGTGTCGATTATTGTTATGCTTTTTCTAGCCACATGTGTCGTATGTAGTTTGCAGGTTTTAGTAGAAAAATCAGCTGAATTTCTCCTCTTAAAATTCTCTTGACCCATGATGGCATTTCCTGCAGCACTCTTTCCTGATCTAGTCCTTCCCAGAAGCACAATTCTTGGTTTCTCGGACCCTGCCATTCAGAATGTTAAAACAGAATGATTACAATCCAGAAATTAAAAATTAACTAAATCACAGCAAACAAATAGTCAAAATAGATTTAATGATGTCAATTTAAAATGATCTGAAACATGCAGTAATGCAGGACTGATACAAAGATGTTTACATGGACAACAATGATTACATTTACATGGACATCAGTAATCTTTTTTTTAATTTAAGGAGTAAAGCAACATACATTAAAACAATGAAAGTTAAATTTTCCTTCCTTCTACTTTTGGACATGTTCTTCTTCGTTGTGGTGCCATATACAGCTTTGGGTGTTTAATTTTTAATTTACTGAAAGCTTCAAGTGCAGTTAATTACTTGTCATGCTATACGTGCAAACAGACGACAGCATTGTTAAAGTCATGCTCTTTTATTTGCCGTCAAACGGTTGAACACTGTCGTGTGTGTGTCCTGTCGCAAAATGCAGTGAAAAGTCCTACACGACGGTAATAATGTGATTATGGTGTTTACATGTGTATACTGCATTTCAGTAATGTACTCCACATGTCTTAATTCGATTTGTGTTTACTTCGATTATGACTGTAGCTAGAGTAAGGTAATCAAAAATCTCTGTTTACATGCTAGATTCTTAATCAGAGTATTGTCTTAATCGTATTAAAATCTGACTATTGTTGTCCATGTAAACGTCTTGATGCTCAACCGTTTGACGGCAAATAAAAGAGCATGGCTTTAACAACGCCATCGTCTGTTTGCACGTATAGCATGACAAATAATGAACTGCACTTGAAGCTTTTGTAAAATTTTAAATTAAACACCTTGTGGGCAGTGTGTGGACGTTTCCCGATCCCACCCCTCTCTCTCACACTTTATGTAATAAATTTCAAAATAATACAATTTCAAATAAAAGTAAAAATGGCAAAAATAAATCTTTAAAAAAAACTTAACACCCAAAACTATGTGGCACCATAACGAAGATGAACTGTATGTTGATACGTGAAATTCTGGGTTGGACGTCGGATGGCGTTGCGTGGTGACGTAATGACGTGAGCCATTAATCCATCTATGTACTATAACATGTAAAATGGGAACATGAAAGGAATATTCTAAAAGCAGCTCATGTAAACACCTTAATCATAATATTGTCTTATTCAGAATAAGGTAAATAATTAGATTACTGATGTCCATGTAAACATAGACAGCAACCTGGATAGATTTTATTTTTGCATTCCTGATACATCATGATGGTATTATTACATTGAAAATTAATTATTATAGACACAAAAAGACAAACACACTTACAGAACTGCTTGCAACCTGGATAGATTTTATTTTTGCATTCCTGATACATCATGATGGTATTATTACATTGAAAATGAATTATTATAGACACAAAAAGACAAACACACTTACAGAACTGCTTATTTCTCTGAGCTTTCTGGTACATTTCAATGGTGTAGTGCAGTAATCCATTCTTCTCGACCATTTCATTAATCTTCTCCAGCAGTTCAGTGACCTGAGAGTGATTCTCCATGTTCTTATTGTTGAACGAGTGAAATCTGCCACCAAACTCTTCAGTAACTACCTGTAGATCTGGATTGCCTCTGATATACTCATCTAATGGTTTTCTCTTCAGATGATCAGCGTGAGTGAACAGAATGATGGTGTGATGTACAGCTTCTTCACCAAAGTTCTTCTGAATCCATTTCACTGTGTTTTTCTCCTCATCTTTGAATCTCTTATCCAGTCTGATGACCAGCAGAAACACATGAGGACCAGGAGAAGACATGTGGACACACTTCTCTAATTCATCTTTCATTTTCTCTTCTGGTGCATCAATCAGTCCTGGAGTGTCGATTATTTTCATGTTCTTTCCATCAACACAAGCTTTATGTATTTCACAGGTTTTAGTAAAACTCTGTCGGCCCACAATGGTTTCTACAGCACTGGTCTTTCCTGATCCAGTTTTACCCAGCAGCACAATCCGAATTTAAAATAATCAGATTGTTTACAATGCAGGCAATAAACAAACAAACAAACCACAATAAAAAAAAAGTACAAAATTAGCTTAATGATATGCAATATGGAATGAACCAGACAGTGACACCCACCGCTGTTTATATAATGGTGATAATATGTTTCAAAGACACACACACACACTTACAGAACTGTTCTCTGTTTAATCTCCACTGAGCTTCTTCGTACATCTTATTAGTGTAGTACCCTATTCCATTCTCCTTCATTTTCTCAATCTTCTCCAGCAGTTCAGTGACCTGTGAGCGGTTCTGCGTGTCATTATTGTTGAATGATTGAATCTGCCATCACACTCATTAACTAGAGCTTTGACAGCATCAGAGTCTGATATTCTCATCTAATGGTTTCCCCCTCAGATGATCAGCGTGAGTGAACAGAATGATGGTGTAACGTGCAGCTCCTTCTCCAAAGTTCTTCTGAATCCATTTCACTGTGTTTTTCTCTTCTTCTGTGAATCTCACGTCCAGTCTGATGACCAGCAGAAACACATGAGGACCAGGAAGAGACTTCTCCACACACTTCTCTATTTCATGCTCCACTTACTGTTCGGACATTGTGGTATCAAACAGGCCTGGAGTGTCGATGACTGAGATCCTCCGGTCACCAATCAGTACTTCTCTTTTCTCACAGGTTTTAGTACATGACTCTAGTGAATGAATCACCGTAAAACACCCTCTGCCCAGTATAGTGTTTCCTGTTGAACTCTTTCCTGATCCGGTTTTACCCAGCAGAACAATCCTGATATCAGATGAATTTGATCCTTTGAACCAGATTGAAATTTCAAGTATTAAATAAAGCATTTAAACAGCAAGTAATAATAATAATAATAATAATAATAATAACAATAATAACAATTACATTAAAATAATTACATGATTTTTAATTGTTTAATATGCCAATTATAGGGATAGTTCACCAAAAAATGACAGACAAGGGGGGCCTGGCCCACCCAATCAGCAGCTTGGCCCACCCTGGCCCCACACTACATAACAGCCAATCACAAAATTGGTGCGATATTCATTTGAGCTGCATATATTCTTCTTTTATGTTTTCTTACTGCCCACTCCTGCAGCGTGTTCCACTCCCACCTGCACCCGCAAACATTCTAATATTGTATATAATTTTTGCACATCAGGGAGCCGCTATCAATATGCACAGCATTGGAATCGCTTTTGATGAGCGCTCGCGCTGTTCACTTTCAATTGCGCGATCACGCGTACTCTGTGTAAAGGGAGCACATTTTACAAGATATTTGTCAGTGAGCTCAGGATCTGTTGAGCAGCAAATCCTCCAGCATGATCTGTCAGTCATTTCTCCTTACTCTCGACCCGAGATCAGTCAAATCTCACTCCTGCAGCTCGTGGTGGATGCAGGGTTGTCAAGTCTGTGTTTTTTCCCATAGAATTGAGTTACTTTTAAACTGGGTTGATTTTCCGCTGTGGGTTAAAGGTTTGAAATACTGCATAAACTAAACTTCACTGAAATACTTGTATTGAAATATTTTGCATTCTACCCATGATAAAACTATGTTGGATTTTAAGTTTTGTTAAAGCCACTGGTAGGAAGCCTTTGAGCTATGTTTATAATCAATGTGCATAACAGTGACTGTAAAATATGTATTTTAGGTATGGAAATGACATTTATGAGTTTTGATATTTGTGATATGCACTACTTTGGACTGCTTTTGACTGGATCTTGGACTAGTTTTGTCACACAGACCTGGCAACCCTGGTGTAGAGCAGATACTTTCAGTTTAGAATTGTATCATATGTTTCCAACTGAACTAAATGATTTTTCTTTCAATAAACATGCAAAACGACAGTGGGGGTGGTGCCGTAGTGGTCAAATAATGTAATTAGTGTATGACCAAACACAGTGTAACACCGACTTCCACAGCAAGCCTAGTGTTAATGTAACTCCGTTCTTGTTATGCATGCTTTTGTTTTCCATGTTGAGTGTTCAGTGTTGCTTCCTCAGAAAATGATACTTTCGTACGAGAGGTCCTCCCCACCCCCACCCCCATCCCCGAAATATCACTTGGCCCACCCTCTATCTCATATCTGGAGCCGGGCCTGCTGTCAGTCAAACTCCCAGCGAAGGGTCAGTTAGCACTGTATTATTCAGATGCTTTTTTTATCATCTGGAGATGACTTGAAAAACACACATAAACCATATATTGTCACAGTCATGTGTATATTGTCTTACTTTTCATCAGTCAAAACGTTTCTTTTTATTCAGCTTAGCTACAGCAGAGGTTGCTTTGGCTACAGCAATACCTGGATGCCTTTATTTCCTGGCATGTCATAAGTTATTCTTCTTCATCTTCTATAATTCCATAATAATGACTGCTTGTTACTGCCATATCCCAGTTAGTTATTACTTCTATGAGGCCATTTTGGACTTCCTGCGCAAGAGCGCCCTCCGGCTTCGAGTATGAATGAAACAAACAGTGCATGAGAGTGTTTACGTCTGGTCCTGACTGCATCACTGTCTTTACTTTTTTTTTTTTAGGAAATATTTGCATTTATTCACATGCGATTGGATTAGCTACTCATGTGTTGTATTGTCATGAGTTGGCTAAAGCAGGATACTACATCAGAGGGGATTTAGAAGTGGGTATAAGCAATGCCAACTGACAAAATATAAAGCTTGGAAGAGCCAGGATGTTTTTAAATAAAACTTTGATTTTATTCGTCTGAAAGAAGAAAGTCATTTAACGTTACACCTAGAATGGCTTGAGGGTGAGTAAAGCATGGGGTCATTTTCATATTTGGGTGAACTATCCCTTTAAAATTAATGACATATTAAAAACTTTAACTAATAAATGTTACATAAAAAAAAAAAGTCAGCTCAGTTAAACTACGTACTTATATCATTGACGTGTCCATTGTCGTGTCCTTTCATGAGCCCCTGAGTTGTCATGAAGGTGAGACTGATTCTCTGAAATTATATTGTAATACAGTTGTGACAGATGAATATTACATTGAAATTTAAAAATAATCTTGAATTAAATAGTTATACTGGTTACAAAATCTCAAATGCTGATCACTTTCAGAAATAAATGTCTTCAATTAACAATCAATCCTCACAAACCTGAAAGCAATAGATAGGTGCACAGGAGACAAAGACCAACAAAAAAAGGTCAAAAGAAAAATTTTGAAGATTTTGAATATACCTGATGAAGGTCATGAGTTGGTTTTGATACTTTTAAAAATAAATGCCTTAACATTCATACACATACATGCAGTGTTGAGGAAGTTACTCATATTAAAAGTAATTAAACAGATAAGATAACCTTCACTTCACTATAACCCAGTAATTGCTGCCTGTAGCTATATTTTGGTTGGAGTTGCTATATAGATGCACTTGCCCCAGTGCTTCTCAAACCTGTCCTGCCGTACCCCCATCACGGCACATTTTCTATGTTTCCCTCATCTAACACAACTGATTCTATTCATCAGCTCATTAGAAGAGACTGCAAGACCTAAGCTGTATTGGAATTGCCTGCTATAACCTCATTTACTTTTAAGGGTATAGGGCACAATTTCAGACACAGCTCTGAATCGGGTATATGTTGAACATCACATGACCAAACTGTAAAACAGGTCACATCATTTGCACTTGTTGGAAAAAGTGTTAACAGCAGAATGAACTGGCTCTTTTGGGTAATCAGCTAACCTAGGTATTTGTTTTTACAGAGTGTCTATTTACACTAAGTGCAAATAACCCGCCTTGTTGGCAGAAGCTATTTACACAAACTCCGCCCACCAATGTGTGATTCGGCTAGTCAACATTACAAAAGACAGTCAATCATCATCAGCTCCAGTGGTGCAGATGGTAAAAAATGTGTCGTGCTCATATTGACGCGACTGACCCAGGTTTGAATCTGCCGTTTGGCAAACTTTTTTCTCCCTTTTCAAATTTCAAATCACATCAGAAAAGCATTTATTTTCAATGAAAATGAAGGAAATAATCAAAAAGTTGAAAATAAAGTATGGGGTAGGTTGCAAGCTATCTGTCTCCCAGTGCGGCATCGTCTTTAAAGGCTCCGGCATTGCCCTCCAAGCCGCTGCGCACAACATCAGCGCTGGTGGGCAAAGGGTACTCGGCAGCGGGTCAGACTGGTGCGTGTCTGCACACCATGGTGGTGTTACAGGCGTACCAAGCCGACCTGCTGAAGGAGCTAGACAAGGGTGAGCAGGTAAAATCCGAGGATATTACCGAGCTCAGGAGAACCGCTGATTTGTCTCTCCACGCCACTAAAGAGACCGCCCGTGCCATTGGCAGGTCTATGGCAGCTATGGTGGCAGCGGAGAGGCATTTATGGCTGACCTTGTCAGATATGAAAGAGAGAGACAAGGTCTGCCTAATGGACACCCCGCTTGTGCCTTCTGGCCTGTTTGGCGACGCCGTCAATTCGGTCGTCGACAGGTACCAGGAGGCCCGTAAACAGGCGGCGGCGTTCCAGCGGTTTCTCCATCGCCGCTCTCTAGCTCTGGGGGCTGCTGGGCGAGAGCAGCCCCTTCCGGGCAGTGGATCGAGGCGGCGCTCTAGGTCAGGGGCCTCAAAGTCTAAGCCAGATCTGCGGACCGTACTTAAGACTAAGAGGTCCTCGGCCAAAAAGTCCTGAAGCCGGGCCGAGTATGGTTCTCGGCCTCAGCTGAGGCTGAGGCCTCCGCTACGATCTCGGGTCCCCACGTGGGACCTGGCTGTGGTGCTAGAGGCTCTCTGTAGGCCTCCCTTCGAGCCTATTGAGGAGATATCTGATCGCCTCCTGACTATAAAAACTACCTTTCTTCTGGCGATATCTTCCCTCAAGAGAGTTGGGGATCTGCAGGCCCTTTCAGTGCCCCGTCTTATCTTGACTTTGCGGCCGGTCTGGCCAAAGCGTTTCTGTTCCCTCGAGCGGGGTATGTTCCTAAGGTCCCCTCCTATACACCACGGCCTGTCGTACTCCAGGTCTTCAGTCCTCCTCCCTTCGGGGATCCAGACCAGCAGAAGCTAAACTGTATGTGTCCAGTGCGAGCATTGGACGCATACGTCCACAGAGCTGCCTTGTGGAGAAGGGCGGACCAACTGCTCGTATGCTATGGTCCCCCTAAGAGAGGTCTTCCTGCTACGAAACAGACCCTCAGTCGGTGGATAACAGATGCTATTTCTATTTCTTATGAGTCCTCTGATCTCCCTTCGCCTCTTGGGGTCAAGGCTCACTCTACGAGAAGTGTGGCGGCCTCTAAGGCCTTCTTGGCAGGTGTCTCAATGCAGGACATCTGCGACGCTGCCGGATGGTCCACGCCCCTGACCTTCGTAAGGTTCTATGGCCTAGACATGCGAGCCACTCCTGGCTCCTCTTTTCTCGCGCCTTAGCTGTGCACGCTTCCACACTAGGCGAGATTTGAAAGTCTGGCGGCGTGGGCATTCTCCTTCCCAAAGCATCCTCCGACGCAGCTCGCGTTCCTGAAGAGGAACGTGGATCTGGCCGATGAGTTTGAAGAGGGGTTTTTCCCTCTCGCGATCGTCGGCTGTGGACGAGAGTGAGCCGTTGGAGGATGACGTTATTTCATTAACATTGTCTGTTCCAGGGGCCAGTGCTCTGCTGGAAAGCAGGAAAATGTCTGAAGACGGCAAAAAGCTGAGGCTGAGCTTTCCCAATCCTCCTGCCCTGCGTATGATGAGCTGCAGAGATTTAAGGAATGGAAGAGGCCGTTTTTTCCTCACTGGCCAGTCTCGGTTTGAGGATCAGAGATCAGAGAGAGAGGCTCAGAAGGCTAGTGTCGCGGCTCGCGCTCCTCCCCCGCCCGCGGGTAGGGGTAGGAATAATCGCGGATCAAACATCTCTCCACCTGAACGAGGTTAGCTCTGGGACAAAATGGGATGCTTTAAGGAAAATGTGTAGCCTATGTAAGTAGTAGGCCTAAAATAAAAATAACAATTTGTTTTCATCAAAAAAAATTCTTATATATCTGGCTTAAATAATTAAGCTAACAGATTTAAAATAGAAGTGTGGCGTGGCGCTTCCACGAAAGGAAAGGATGACAACGCGCATTCTGTTTGTTTGCTTTATTTTGAAAAAGCACAAATCTTGTTTTTATTGTGAGTGTGCAAAAATAAAAGTAAACACTTTTGCGGATTACATCTTACTCCAAAAATGGAGTTTTTTGCATTCAGAACGAATCTGCTGCATGGTTCGGAGGTTAGATGCGTACATATGAACCGGTGGGACATAAGCTAACATACACTTGCTGCACATCGCATAAAACGTTAAAAAAATGTCAATATGTGGGAGTAAGATAAGAGCAGACATATGGATAAATCTGACGACGCAAGGGAGAACTCAATTCGCTCCGGTTTTCTGAGCACAGACCCTGAAGCATACACAAACATATTATCTTTAAGACAGATGCACTGAAGACGGACACAAAGAGGAGAGAATAGTCACGCAAGCAGAGAAAATACTGTACCAGACAGAACAAATTCATTGTTATTAAATGGATGCCACCTTATTGGGACAATAAAGCCCTCCCTAACCCTACCCGATACTTTATTTTCAACTTTTGATTGTTTCCTTCATTTTTATTGAAAATAAATGCCTTTCCGATGTGACATGAGATTTGAAAAGGAAGACAAAGGCGGATTCGAACCCGGGTCGATCGCGTCAAAAAGACTACGGTGCACGCTTTACCATCTACGCCACTGAAGTTGACGATTGGCTGTCGTCTTTTATAGTGTTGACTATTCCTATAACACATTTGTGGGTGGAGCTACTGTAAATAGCCTCTATCAACAAGGCAGGCTATTTGCACTTAGTGTAAATAGACACCCCGGGAAAAAAAAAATCCATAGACGCTTATAATGCGTGTATCTGGCAACTCGACTGAGGCTGAGCCCGCGTCCTCAATCACAACTCGCTCAAGGGACGAGGCCATGTAACCTTTCCACGATGATAATATATATATATATATTTTTAATCCAAATAGCTTGCTGAAATACTTATGCGGCCGCCTCATCTACGTCAGCCATGCTGATCATGACCTGTCCCGGTGACCCTGATCGCGCCTGACCTGCCTTCCGTTTCCATTATACGCCTTC